CAGACAGACAGACAGACAGAGAGATAGACAGACAGACACAGACAGGCAGACAGACAGACACAGGCAGGCAGGCAGGCAGCCAGGCAGGCAGAAAGCCAGACAGATAAATAGACAGACACACACAGACAGACAGACAGACAGGCAGACAGACACAGACAGACAGACAGAGACACAGACAGACAGACAGGCAGACAGATAGACAGACAGGCAGGCAGACAGACAGACAGAGAGGCAGACAGACAGATAGATAGATAGATAGATAGATAGATAGATAGATAGATAGATAGATAGATAGATAGATAGATAGATAGATAGATAGATAGATAGATAGATAGATAGATAGATAGATAGATAGATAGATAGATAGATAGATAGATAGATAGATAGATAGATAGATAGATAGATAGATAGATAGATAGATAGATAGATAGATAGATAGATAGATAGATAGATAGATAGATAGATAGATAGATAGATAGATAGATAGATAGATAGATAGATAGATAGATAGATAGATAGATAGATAGATAGATAGATAGATAGATAGATAGATAGATAGATAGATAGATAGATAGATAGATAGATAGATAGATAGATAGATAGATAGATAGATAGATAGATAGATAGATAGATAGATAGATAGATAGATAGATAGATAGATAGATAGATAGATAGATAGATAGATAGATAGATAGATAGATAGATAGATAGATAGATAGATAGATAGATAGATAGATAGATAGATAGATAGATAGATAGATAGATAGACAGACACAGACAGACAGACAGGTAGACAGACAGACAGATAGACACAGACAGACAGACAGGTAGACAGACAGACAGACACAGATAGACAGACATACACATACAGACAGACAGATAGACAGACAGCATACTAGCATACTTTCAGCATGTTTTAACATATAGTTAATGGTTAACACACTAGCATATTTTAGCTTGTTGCTAGCCTGTTTCTAGAAGTTATGTTCTAACATGTTGCGAGCATGTTTAAGCATGTTTTTAGCAGTTCCTAGTATGTTGCATACATGTTTTAGCATGTTTCTAGATCTTGTTAACACGTTTTTGCGTGCATGTGTCAGCTTGTTTTTGTTGGTAGCATGTTATAACACATTGCTATATGTCTTAGCATGTTGCTAGCATTATCATACAATGTTTCCCCTCAAACAAAAAGGCCATTCGGTTTTCCATTGCCTTTTGGATAATTGCAGAAAATAAGTTGTGTGACCAGCAAATGTTTATGATTCTTACACACTTTGTTAATATACGATGATCTTCACAAATTAGCACAACAACTCCGAATATTGTAGGCTAAATACAATCAGCAGAAGAAATAAGCTTACGTTAGACTACAAACAAACTACATCATGATCGTACAACTTCAAGGTTACCATTACTAAGCTTCCGACAACTCTTTCAATCTTTATTTAAAATCTACAAGTTGGAAAGTTTGAGTTAAAATGGACTTCTTGTGTTTATATTCACACAAACTGTAAGTGGACTAGCAAGTAGCATAGCCTTTGCTGTCCCAATTTGGGGAACGTTACTTTTAAAAGTAACAGATTACAATATTGCGTTCCTCTATAAAAAGTATTTACTTAGTCTTACTTAATTACTTTTTATGTAAAGTAATGCATAATGTTACTTTTGCGTTTACTCCGGGCTGGGCTTGCTTATTTGTTTTTAATAACAAAAATCCCAAAAGTGATATTTTTGGCAAATGTAAAGGCCCTTTCTTTCACACCAAAAGTGAAATTAATAGGCCTCAGGCTGAAGGAAGCACCTATACATGGGAAAACAAAGTAACTTGAATTACTTATTTGAAAAGGTAACTCAAATATTTCATTGTAAATTTAAAAGTAATGCATTACTTTACTAGTAACTTGGAAAAGTAATCTGATTACGTAACTCACGTTACTTTGTAATGCGTTACCCCCAACATGCATGTTGTAGAACAAAACATTAAAATATCTTGAGATTGTGTTTACCACAGACCTTATTTCAGGCATTTAACCAAAAACCCATTTAAAAAAAACTATTGACTTCAGGATGATGAACCAGACGTTCAAAAATCCTAATTCGCTTCTGGGTTTTAGGACTTGTTCCTGAAGCACTGTATTATACCTGTACCTGGTATCAACATCTGTCTCAGATCTAACCTGTCCTGAGATTGCTGTTTACACCTGGTAATAAATGAACAGTTCATCCAAAATTGCTGTCATTATTCACTCACTCACATTTCACTCTAAGATTTAGACCTCAGAAAGAGGTTTAAGTGATTGGATCACATATTGGACATGTTTTACACTGGTTTTCCTCCGTGTGATCGGATTACTCATGATGGCCGTTAATATCAGGTGTGAATGGGGTCTTTGTTAAGGGAAATCTTCTCACCTTCCCACAGGCTCTGCAATGGTGGCGTCTCCAGGTGAGGGTGAACTCACAGGTGCAGATCATGCACATAGTGGCCCTCAGGTCTGGGATCCATATCGGGGCTTTGGATCCCAGCTGGGCCCCGCTGTCTGGAACATCTTGGGTTGCCTGGAAAATATTGCAAGTTGATAACAAAACTGCACACATGAAGCATTATGATGATAAAGTTTATGATTTAAACTCAGTCACAGGTCATTTCAATCGGTTGGTTTACCATCTCAGGGTTTCTAACTGAGGTGAAGGTGGTCTCTTTCTTGGTGTAATCGTCGATTGCGGTGGAAATGGCCTGAAGCCACTCATCTCGACATGCAGCAGAGCTTTGAGGATAAAACCACAAGAGTGTATCGATCAGAAACATACACGTTCAGTTGTATGAATTACAAGTACATGGATTACATGGACTACAAATTGTATGGATTTCATGTTACAGGGCATGAAATAAATGTCAATGATGAATAATAAGAATTTGGACACTGAATATACTAATCGTCATTTACGTCATTTATTCAGCCTGCTTTAATCTGCATAACGTTCTTCTGTGGAAGAGAAGATATTTTGATTTTGATATGTCTGTGTTTTTTTGTCCTTTCATTTATATCTTTGACACGACTGACTTTCAAGTTTCACTGTACGGGCAAAATTTTTTAAAATATTCTTCAAAATATGTTTAATGTTTCCCAGAAGACAGTCCGTCATGTAGGTTTGGAGCGATATGAGGCTCAGAAAATTATTATTTTTGGGTGAACTATCCCTTTAAGGATTAATGAATAAATAGGACATAAATGAGCACCACAACCCACATATTTAATATTTTAGCATTTTATGGACAGATTCTCACCTGGCAGATAAAATAAAAGATCGTTCAACACTCTCAATGTTCAGCTCATTCTGATACCCCTCCTGACTAGGTTTACTGACCTGAGCGTAATACAGACAATGACAGAAAATAATAAGACATTCTGAAATGTATGTAAATATGTAAAAAATATCCATGTAAAAACAAAACAAACAAAAAAATTAATAAGCAGGATTGCATTTTAACTGTGACAATTTCAAAATAAACAAAAAATCTCACCTTCATCTCAGCCAATGACAGTATGTTGTTCAGTTTGAAATTACCCGTTGCTACCGGCGTGGTATACAGAAGACTATCATTCAACTGTTCAAAAAGAAATGAGAAAAAATTAATTCTAAAGAAAGAAGAATACTTTTCTAGAAAAATGTAAAAACCTCAAAAAGACATTTGAGGTATTATGTCAGAAAAGGCCAATATTAGGGGAAGAAATCTGCAAAAACAAAACTAACAAAAGTCAACATAAAATCAACAAACAAACATAAAATCAAACAACACACATCAACAAACAAACATAAAATCAAACAAGTCAACAAACAAAAACAACAGTCACCATAAAATCAACGAACAATAAACATAAAATCAAAAAGCAAAAGTCAATGTAAAATGAACTAACAAAAACAAAAAACAAACAAAATCAACATAATCAAAATGAACAAAAGTCAATATAAAACTAACAAATAAAACCAGCGACCAATCAACAAACAGAACAAAACAAAAAAACTAATTTTTTTTAGAAATACAAAACCAACAAGTCAACATGAAATCAACAAACAAAACCAAACAGCCAAAAAAAATCGAAACCAACAGAAGTCAACGTGGAATCAATATAAAACAAGATTAACATGTCAACATAAAATCAACAAACCAAAAAAACAAACAAACAATAAACAAAATCAAACAACAAAAGTCAACATAAAATCAACTAATAACAACATCAAAACAAACAAACAAACAATTAACAAAATTAACAATCAAAATTAACATAAAATCATCAAAACAAAAGCAGTGTGTCACTTACTAAGAAGAACATTCGAGGCTGCATCACTTTCCTGGAGCGCTTCATCAAGATCCCTTCTTTTAACAAAACCTAAAAAAACATACATGAATATATTACAAGCATTTACGATTAAAAACAGCTCAACAGGAATTAGCAGTTGTAAATGTACCCTTCCTGGTTGGACGATCACATGATTCCCAGTCAGGCGGCACTGAACCTCGTACAGCTTCTGGCTGTTATCCTGCGTAAAAAACACATTTCACATTCCTCAAAATTTAACAAAAAGCATAAGATATTGTATGTATCTTTTAGAGACGAAACAAAAACTGATTGTGAATTACCTCGTGTCTTATGATTTCATTCGCATGATTAGCCACCTCCTTTACTATCGTTAGGGCAGCTGTAAACATGCATAAAGATATTGTTTATATATCATATAATAGAAGATTGAGATTTATTGTGTGCCTAAGAAGACCATTTATTTTCACCTTCTGCATCTTTGTAGTCTGGCGATTCTTCATCTAGATTGTTCAGATAACCTAAGGAAAAATAATACAGGTGTACAGTATATTTAAAAAATATCTTAAATGTATACTTATACAAAAAGAACACTTTGAATAATAAACAATTAGAAGTTGTCATTAAGCCATTTAACTAGCTGAATTTTATCACATTTCCACTCACAAAGTTTTTTTTTTCTCATCAAACATAGCTATGTGTTGCAAGTGCTGATTGTTTTCCATGATAACAGTGCCTTTAGTTTCTAACAATTTCATAAAGTTGATTAATGTAATTATGAAGAGCTTGAATAATCCTTAGTTTGAACACATTTATGTAATCAGTGCATTTGTATTTTTACATACATTGTTCACATTTTTTGCAGCATTAAGCCTGAACTGCTTACACAACAGAAACATGCAGGAACATGTGGCTCAGACTTCTGCTTTCTCTGTAAAGCTGTAGGTGCAATTAGGTGTAAAACTAATGCATACAACTGACATATCACACAAAAATGCTCTTCTGAAAACGTGTCACTCTTGTGTTCAGATGTTTGGATGTTACCGGTCACTGAAAGTGAGTGTCTTTATTTGTGGTGTTTGCTGTCAGGCTTCACTGTTCTCTTGCTCTTAGTAATTTGTATGGCTGGGTATCAGTGCAGATTTCCTGATTCAATTCTGATTCACAAGCTCACACTTGCATATGAAATAAATTCTCTCACTGCCCTACCCTAGCAACCTACCTACCCTAGCAACCCTACCTACCCTAGCAACCACCCACAATACCCTGGCAACTGTAATGTTTTAAAACACTACTCAGAACACCTTAGCAACCACCCACAATACCCTAGAAACTTAAATGTGTTAAAAACACACAGAACACCTTAGCAACCACATAGTAACACACTGGCAGCCACCCACAATACCCTAGAAACTTAAATGCGTTAAAAACACACAGAACACCTTAGCAACCACATAGTAACACACTGGCAGCCACCCACAATACCCTAGAAACTTAAATGTGTTAAAAACACACAGAGCACCTTAGCAACCGCATAGCAACACCCTGGCAACTGCAATGTGTTAAACTACTCAGAACACCTTAGCAACCACATAGTAACACACTGGCAGCCACCCACAATACCCTAGAAACTTAAATGTGTTAAAAACACACAGAGCACCTTAGCAACCGCATAGCAACACCCTGGCAACTGCAATGTGTTAAACTACTCAGAACACCTTAGCAAC